AGTATACTCTGTTTTTTTTCTCAGGTAAGATTTCGACAGACGATGACAGAAGAAAAGCAGATGACGTCCCATACCAATCTATTTATTTTACTAAAAAAAGTTTCTAATAATTTTTAAGTTAACTATGGATGGGTTTAAATATAAATTCGTCATGCGTCGTCACTTGTTGTTTTTAACCAGTTTTATTGGTTTATTTCAAAACTGACAGATCGTATTTCAATTTTATTGGTTTGACGGAACGATGAACGACAAACGGACGCCGATGCGTATGAACTCGCCTTTAGATTTTTGACGTTTGTCAAAGTCTTGCCAAATTATAGGTTATAATTTTGTGACAACTTTTGTCAGATACCCTGCGTTTTGGAAGATGATGCATTTTGATTCGTGTTATTACGTGTGTTTTGTGTCTTTTGAAGTCAAGTGGAGGAAAAATCGAGTATAAAATGAAAATTAACTGTAGAACCCAGAGCACAGTTTATTGTTAATACTCGCTGCCCAGGCAGAAAGTCTTATACAGATACACCAATAAAGTTACTATCAATAAAGTTCGTATATCATCTCGTCGTAGGTAAGTGCATCTCGAATATGGTAGAAGGACCATACTAAACAAATACTAAAAACTGGAGTAGCTGTAAAATATCGACATCACACGATAGGTAAATAATGGATTTTAGTACTGCAGAAAAATAATGTCAAAAGGTACTGGTTTAAAAAAATTAAGATTAAAGTTAATTAATCAACCTGTGAGGTATAAAATTTGGTAAGCGTTATTATTAATAAAATAGTTTGTTTTATTTATGTTGTTTTATTTATTCCTGGAGAATATTACAAATTTGTATTTGTACATAAGTTATATTGATAAATATAATCATAAATGCGGAAAGTTTCATAAAGCTTGAAAGTAAGAAATAGTTCTTTTTATATTTTTGGTATGTGGTGTCTTGTTTTTGTTTGTTTTATATTAACACATACCGTTTTTTATTAAATAAAATAACTCGATTACATTTTTTCAGTTTTATACAGTTTTTTTCACAATATTTTGAAGTTACTTGTCAGTCAAATTTTAAATACATATATTAATTTCCTGCTATGCGTTCCAGTTGTACCAACTTATTTGTTTGTAAAATAAAATAAACTACTTTGAAATTAAAATGACAGACACATCTATCACTGTCAAGGATCTTCTCGTTGGACAGACTATAATGGATGACAATCGCTTCTTTGATTTTAAAGAACATAACATAAATAAACATAACATACGTAAAATTTAAAAATAATCATACAGAAAATTTGGGGCTTTTTGGTTTTACCTTATTAAGTAATTGTTATCTTTGTTGTAGTAATTGTTAATTTTGAAGTTTAACTTGGATATAATGTCATTTTAACAGAACGTCAACGGTTTCTTGTAGACGTATCTGTTTTAAAAAAATTTAAAATTGTTTTCTTTCTTTTGTAAATTTTAAGCTTAAGTGTGTTCAACTCTCTGTATGTAATTACAATTATTGATATTGTGTTTGTAGGGAGCATAAATAAATAAATAAAAAAGTAAAGTGTTCTCGAATAGTTGAATTTAAATATTTTAAATAATTTTTTTCTTTATTCTTTGTATTTTTTTTTGTTCCCGACGACGGAAATAGATAAACTTTCCGAAACGTTAAGCATTTTTTTCTTTGTTAGGCAAATTTGTATATATATAATATAATATATATAATATTTGGTTAGAGCAAAAAGGGTATAAGTGACTTATTTATTATTTTTGAGATAAGTACAAATTCATCTAGCTAAATGAAATTTCTTTCAAAGCAAAACGGATACAAGCGCGATGGGCGATCGGGATTGCCATCTTTTGGTGAGATATAAAACCTTGTTAATCATTTGAACAAATCGGTCCCTGCAAAAGGGGTATAAGTGCACTTATACCGTTTTTGCACTAAACAAAATTTATTAGTGCCTTGCAAGTTTAAAACAGAAGAAAATGGCCAGTAACAGTAACAGAGACAACTCCAGTAATGAAGGTAAGAGAAAGCACAGGAACCGCAGTTAATTTTGAGGTTATAATTGGGGTATTTTTTAGATGATTATTCATCAGACGACCCATATCATACCGATGAAGATGAAGAGTTTTTTCCAAATATAACCTCATTATCTGAAAACTCATCAGAAAATTCAGAACAATCAGAAACTGATACTCAACATGTTCATAATATTCATGTTACTCCGAAAAGAACAAGAAAAAGAAAAATATGCATGCCTGAATGGAATAGAAATAATAAGAAGAAGCTTAGAACCGAGGGAAAATGTTACATAGGATACAGGGGGGTAGAACACCCAGAAAAGCAGTTACAAGTATTTAATCATACATGCAGGTATAAATGCAACGAAAATATTTCTCAAGCCAATAGGCAGGCACTATTTGAAAATTTTTATAAATTACCTAGTTACGACTTACAAATAGCCTATTTATCATCCTGTATAATAAAAAACAAACCAAAAAGGCAAAAATCTAATAGACCACGAAATTTCTCTACAAAAATTATGCTGCTAAACAAGCGTGTTTGTAAATCATTTTTTTTTAAACTTTTGACATAAGCAATATGCGTTTTACCGTGATGTGTAAAAAAACTGATGCTCTAGGTATTTGTGAGGTTGATCAGCGAGGAAAACAGCCAAGTGTTAATAAAATTGACCAAGACACTAGAGATTTTGTTATTCAACATATAAAGCTGTTTCCAAGATACAGAAGCCACTATTCGCGAAAAGATAATAGCAATACTAGATACTTATGCCCTGAGCTAAATATAACAAAACTTTACTCTTTATATAAAGAACACTGTGTCGAAAATAATAAAGTCCCTGCTAAGTTGTCTTACTATCGCAGAATTTTAATACAGAGTTTAATCTACGTTTTCACAAACCTCACACTGATACTTGCTCAAGGTGCGATAGCTTGCAAAATATTATTAAACATTCAGCCAATGAAGCGAGTGTTAATTCAGCTAAGATAGCTTTAGAAATCCACCAAAGAAAAGCCAATAAAGCAACTGAAGCAAAAGATTTAGACGTTACAATGCACAAGAACATGACACACGATTTACAACAAACATTACCTACTCCGTTATTAACAACATCAAAGGTATTTTATCTACGCCAACTTTGGACATACAATTTTTGCATCCATAATTTGATTACTGGTGAAGCTTACATGTACACTTGGGATGAAACTGTAGCAGGTCGAGGATCAGCAGAAATTGGCTCCTGTTTAATACACTTTATTAAGTTATTGCTCCCCAATGTTACCAAACTGATAGCATATAGTGACTCATGTGGCGGACATAATAAAAATAAACACATTTGCAAATTATTTATGTTTCTAACAAAAGCTACTCATTTAGAAGAAATCCATCACAAATTTTTAGAACCTGGCCATACATGGAATAAATTCTGGTACATGGAATGTGACAGAAACTTTGCCTTAATCGAGAAAAATAAAAAAAAGAATCCGCAAGTGTATATTCCTGATCATTGGAGGACAGTGATTGCTCGTTCCTCAAAGAAATTTATCGTCTGTAATATGACTCAAAAAAACAATCTCATAAAAGATTTTAAAAAAGACTCTGAAGGAAAGCCACTTAAATTTAGAGAAATTGCTTATTTTAAATATGGCAAATATATGGAAACATTTTCATTTGAGTTTAAACATACTCTAAATGATTTGTTTCCATTTTTAAAATATTCTTGCGGATTACATTCCACTGGACGTCCATCGTTTTCCCTAGAATCAACACTTCAACAATCTAACAAAACCTCAATGCCTATTAAACTTGAAAAATGGAATAATCTCCAGAGACTTCTGGAATACATTCCACCTATTTATCATGCTTTTTACACAAACATGATCCACCAAAAATCTAAAGGAAAGAAAACAGAAAAGGCCAAAACAACAACTGCTAAACCAGAACCAGGACACAGTACTACTAACAACAATGAAGCAAATGTAGAATCGGATGATGGAGAAGACCTTGATGATCATGACCTTGATTCAGATTATGAATAATAAATTGTTTCCCTTTAATAAAAATGTTTACTTTAAAATAAAATTAGTTTTATTTGATCGACTTCAACAAAATTACTATTTCAGTCTGTGCAAAAAGGGTATAAGTACATCAAATTCAAAATTTTGTCTAAACCAATTTTTATTTCAAAATTTTACTTTATTGATTGGATTTGTACTTATTTTTGTTAGTCACACGCTTTAACAACAAAAATATTTTTATTTCGTAGAATTTTCAAAAAGCAATTGACTTTAAACTCTGATTACTCAAAATTATATATTCTGCACTTATACCCTTTTTGCTCTAACCCCTTCAACTGTAAACATGCTGTAAACATAACTTCTGACAAGCAGCGTCCGTTTAGGTTTAACGCAGAAGTGTTTACAAAAAATAACTATTTTATTTTGTAGATTTTCTTGCAGTGCAGTGGCGCAATACCCGTTAAGAATTTTTTTTGGAGAGATGAATCCGCCACATAGGTATAGACATTTTTTAAAATTATTATTTTATTCTTATTATTTTTGTATAGCGCTTCAAATAAAAATAGTGTACTATAATATGCAGAATTTTATGATGAATCTAATTCGGTACAAAAAATAGGGGTTGTAATTAAAAGAAAATAAAACTTTATAGTTAATTTTTTTCACACCTCCTACACAACAAACTATTTTTAGACCTAACTCAACCCAACCTTTAAGCTTAACGCGAACTAAATTGGTACCGGCCGATTGAGTTGACTAAGAACTATCGACGATTTTCACTTTACATAGAAATAAATGTAATCCGCGCATTGAATTGGCTCTGGACCGACCAGCAAAGGCGACTAGATATAGACGACCGATATAGATTTTCGAAATAATTCTGACAGTATTCATATTAATATCGCTTTAAAATTTGTTAATAATAAATTAAAATTGTTATTAATTAAAATATAGGTATTGTTTGTAGGCCATGTCGCTGCAACAGGTGAAATTCTGAATATTAAAGATGCATACAAACATCCATTATTTTATAAAGGAATGGATGAGGCAACAGGATTTAAAACTCGAAATATACTATGTTTCCCTATAAGAGATGAAGATAATATTGTAGGCGTTGCACAGTTGTGTAATAAAATAGGTGGCAATTTTGATTACTTTGACGAAGAAGTAGCGAGAGCATTCAGCATTTATTGCGGAATATCTATTATGCATAGTCTTGTTTATAAAAAAATTCAAGATGCACAGGCTCGAACTAGATTATCAAATGAACTCATGATGTATCACATGCAGGTACCGTCTGTTCAGCCATCGTTCAACGTTACGTCATCATTATTTGTCAAATACGCGTTTTAGGGTGCTTGTCATTGTTTAGAAAAAAATAAGTACGTTCTGAGATTATTAATTGAGTGACTTCCGTTTTTATTAAATTCATGTAGGCATGTTAGGCCTTTATCATAGATAAAAGAAAATAATCTTCTATTAAGATAGATATGAAACTTAATAGTAAAATTTTGGGTCAAAGCGCCCTTCCGTGTTCTTAGTAGAGACTACGTTTAACCCAGCGCCTTCGCCTTTTCTGCTGTAAATATTTTTTATGTTTATATTTCATTTCAAAGGATTTAGTTTTAAAGTTACACTGATATATTAGTATATCAGAGTAACTTTAATAAAACATAAGAATATATATATTTTACAGTTTATTAAATATAAATTTTGACTACAAGGTAGAAAGTAAATCACAATATTTGATAAAACTTATACCATTTTTACAGTTAATAAATAATGAAACTATTTCTGACTATGATATTTAAAATTTAGATAGATAGAATATTAAAAAACATACCAGAATTTGCAGACGCACGCCCAAATTCAATAAAAACCAAAATTTTTCCTGCGAAAATCGGGCTTTTTTCACAGAAAAGGTATTTTTTGATTTATCAACAATCATTGTCAAGTTGACAATATACAGGGTGTTTTCTAATTAGTCTAAAAAATTGTGGTGTGATTCTTCATGTGTTCTTAAAACAATTTTTATATAACCATTAGGTCTAAAGTACTTCCTTTCTGATCTACAGGGTGTTAAAAATTAAAAAAAAATCCATATTTTGCTTAAAATAAATTTATTTTATAGGTACACTACTGCTTTCTTAAAGAAAATATATTTTTTTCTTGGCTGGCCATCCTTTTTCAACAAAATTGATCTTTTGAGTTTTTCTTGTTCATCAAACGGTTGCCGAGAAAAAAATAAATATACTTACTAAGAGCCCGCCGTAAGCCATTTTCTAACGATTTTTTATTTTTTAGATTAATTAGGAAACACCCTGTATATGCATATCACAGGCAACCAAATAAACTAGTAACCTCTAAAAATTATTTTTCCTACCACTAGCGACATACCGTGTTTTTAGTGAGTACTAAATTATTTTATCAAAATTTCACCATAGAAGTTTCCAGGCAATGGCCTTTATTCATTTTAACTGTCTTTCAATTTATAATTTTAGGCTCACGTACCAGTTTTTTTCAGGTAAATCATATCTATTTTAAAAACACTTATAAAAAACTTGATTCTAAAATAAAATAAAATACACTTTGATACTCTAGAAGGTCAAGATGCCTAAAGTAATTAAATATACTCGTACTTCCTAAACTGTGTAAGAAATCCCTATTTTAAAAGCATCAGCAACACGCTATTTTAGTTAAAAACGCAGTTAATTTGTCTTTACATAAGACTACACACGTTTGCATTGTACTTACTTCATAAAAGACGTACAAAATAAAAATCGTTGTATGCTATCGATTAGGCTAATAAATGTTTGCAGTGCTACCGCTACGCAAATATAGCCCTAATTGGACGTTTTCAATGAGTTTTAGATTTACCGCTCGATATTGTGTTGGCAACGCCAAGGAATCGGTTGCTGCGGTGCAAAACTTATCTAGCGAGTTAGTCTTTTAAAACCTTTATCTTTAAGTTACAATCTTAACAATTAAAGCCATAAAAAACTGTTTTAAACGATAAAAAAACATGTATTTTAAAAAAAAAGCAGCACTGCAAAAAAATTCAGCACTGCCTGACACTATCAGTTAGTCGGACCAACGTATAACGGATGCATGAAAATCAAGCTTAATTGTTTTGGGTCGCATACGTTGTACGGGATCTGGCGCTGTTATAGCGGTTGCTAAAATCAATCGCAAAGATGATCAGAAAGAATTTTCTCTTGTCAAACAGAATTTTCAAAAATTATAACATTTTTCAAAATTAAAACCGCCCGCATTGAAAAAATACCGAAGAGTTTAAAGCGTCCCTTTCCAAAGTAATTATTGCTATCTTTTAAGTTTAATTTAAATTTTATTTACTCAAACCCCTGATAATTGTGAAAAAGTGGCATTAAAAAAACTTAAGCTGTGTGCGAACTGTGAACTGCAAAAACAATCGTGGCAACATCGGTTTCTAATGTTCCATAGAAGTTCCATAGGTATTTCATACATGTTCTTATATAAAATAAAGTTTCTTATATGCAACACGCCTTTCAACACACTGTCTTTTATTTATAAGATTAAAATAAATTTGAATAAGTAATATACAGTGGTGGCCAAAAGTATGGAAACTTTTTTAATTTGTCATTTATGCTGAGAAATTAAAATATGAAATAAAACGACTTATATAATCGTGACCTACAAATAATTTCCTACAAAACCTAATACATTTAAATAAAAAATTACAGCTATCAAAAAATATATAAAAAATTATGAATATTTTCTTGGTCAAAAGTATGGAAACTTAAGAAGAATGTTTATTAAAATTCAAGATAATATAAAAATTACTAATATTTAGTGGAATATCCCTTTGAATTAATTACTTCTCTACATCTTCGTGGCATCGAATCGATCAATCTCGTACAATCTTTACTGGAAATGGCCGCCCATTCAGTTTTTAGCACTTCCCATAATTCATTTTTATTTGAAATAGAATGGCTTCGAATTTTGCTATCCAAATGGTCCCATAAATTTTCTATGGGGTTAAGATCGGGAGACTGTGAGGGCCAATCCATTAGTGGAACATTATGTTCATTTAACCAATTTTGAACAAACCGAGATTTGAGCTTGGGATCATTGTCTTGCTGGAACAACCATCTGAGTGGCATTTCTTCATCAGCATGAGGCAGCATATTATTCTCCAATATGTCTTTGTACAAAAAACGGTCCATTATCCTATCAATTTTAACAAGAGGACCAACACCTGAGCGAGAAAAACACCCCCATACCATTATATTCCCACCCCCATGTTTTACTGTGGGCATCTGGTACTTATGGCCGTGTACCTTTTGGTCTTCGGACATAACGTCTCCCGTCACTACCAAACAGTTGAAACTTGCTTTCGTCGCTAAACAGTACAGTATTCCATTTCTGATAAGACCAGGTGAGATGATCTTGAGCAAATTTAAAGCGGGCCATCCTATTTTTCTTTGATATTAGTGGTTTCTTCACCGCAACTCTTCCAAAAAGTCCCATGTCATCCAACCTTCTTCTCACCGTGCGTGCAGACACCGATATTCCCCTTTCACCCATTTCTCGAGAAATGTCTGTGGATGTTTTTCTTGGATCTCCCATTGGTATTCTCTTCATTACTTTCATTGTCCTGTTGCACAACTTTCTTGGTCTTCCTGACTTAAAAGCTGTTGAAACGTTCCCTGTTTTATTAAATTTACGAATTATTTTCGAAACGGTGCCTTTTAAAATGTTTAAATTTTTACTTATTTGAATTTGTTTATAACCGCTCTTGTATAATTCAACTATTTTATTTTTTAAATCCGTAGAGAAATATTTAGACTTGGGCATGATATTTATATTTATCTGAAGCAAATCGTACCGTTTATCAGCTTAAACTAAATAATTTTAATGTATTTATTTATGGTTTCCATACTTTTGGCCACAAGAAATATATTGTTCTCCTACAAAAACTGCTAAACAGATTTTTTTCGCTGTGTAATTTTTGGAATACTTTTATTTGCTGATAAGCTGTTCATTTATATTCCTGAGAGTTTAAGCATAGCAATATTTTCTGTGATATTTTAAAAAGTAAAAAGTTTCCATACTTTTGGCCACCACTGCATTTGGCGACATAATTCCGGAAAAAGCCGAACCGCTCCGAAATTATCAAAAGTTTTGGGTCGCGACCGTTGCAAGAATAGCACCAAATAGTATTTACATTGTCCTTATGGTTACTTTCCAATCTAAACTTCTTTCATTTATCTATGCTTTATACTGCATCGACGCGCGACGGGCAAAAGTGTTTTACCACTGTCACTTTTCTCGCGTAAAATAAGTAATAAACTTTGCTATGGGAAGTTATTCATTCCCCCTAAGTCGGCAACGCATCTTAATAAAAAAATTGAATTTCAAATTTAAAATCAAAAACTCAATCAAAAAGAATTAAAAATTGTTTGACAGCGCAATCAAATTTTCATTTTGACATTGATCGATGTTCGTCAATAAAATTATAACCCCAAATCAAATGACATTGACAATTACTAAAAGCAAATTTTGACAGTGATCAATATCCGTCAATAAAATTATATCCCCAAATCAAATGAAACAATGACAGTTATTAAAAACAATGTGTAGTAATTTACGAAATGTCGTAATGACGTCATCAATCTGTTTCATCTGGTTGTCAAGTGAAACAGAGTGTTTGACAATATATGACGTGACGTTGAAGGATGGGTGTACAAACTATATATCGTTTTGGTCTTATACAGGGTGCTACAAATTCGAGGTACGAGCATGGTATCTCGGTAACCGTAATAGATACCAACATGATTAAATTGGGGAAAGTTGCGCTATAGGATGTTCACCAAGATGCCATCAAAAAAAGTTTAAAAATTCCAAGGATTGCTGAGTTTTTTGGAAAAAACGGATTTTTATTTTTTCCGGTCGTTACTTTTTCGAAAATCAAAAAACTAATTATTGTACATTCTCATTAGGGCTATTTGGCGCCGGGAGGCACGTATAGCCGCCCATACTAAAGTATGTTAATAAAAAGTTGGTAGGCAGTTCTTTTAGTTTCAAAGTAAAGGAATTTTTCCAATTTTGGTCCGCGGTTATTTCCCTTATCCGCCACCTGGGGTCGCATCCGATGGGAGTTTGGAGTTCTCCACACGGATTTTCTCAAAACGGACTACGGAAACACGGAATATCTCAAAAACTGCGACTTTGACTGATTTTGATGTTATTACAAATTTTGTTGCAAATATTATTCCTAATCTTAAATTGAAAACCGCGTTTCGCTAGCT